GGCAGTATAAAATCTCAGATTTCAAAACCTGACCGAATAAAAGCAAAACTATCTGCATGGCCAGATACCTAAAAACATAATTTGGGTGAACAGACAATTTAAATTACTGTGTATAATGTCCCATGAGTCAGAAATGTATCATCATGATACAGTATGCTGTATGGGCACATATGTGGGTGGTTCTTTGCGTGATAGTTCCCTTATATCACATACAAATTGCATATTCAAGTTGAAAAGTGTGCACTTATGCTGACAGGTGAAAACAAGATCAAACATACATGCATCACTGGATTTCTTATATCGTATTCATCAGGTAACATTATGTATGCAGCATGAAGGTATGCATGCAGCATATAGCATCTAGAAAAGAGGGAAGGGAGTTAGCAGGTGGGTTCGGTTAGCCAGGTAATGAAAGCACGAAATGTGAACAGAGCTGAAAAGCAGAGGCTATGAATGTTAGGAGCCTTATTCCCATTCCTTCCAATGGAAGGAGCGAGTCCAGTGGAGATGTTACTGAAACACAGGGGAATAAAGGCTGAGAGGATTGCAGGGGCCGCTTCAGCGATTGAGGGTGCGACCTACAGGAGTTTAATAGGGAAAGGTTAGCTTAGCACAGTGACGGGCGGCAGAGGAGCCTGTGCACTGGCAGGAGTGCAGAGAGGAGGCTAGAAAAGGTATGAAGAGAGAGGATAACAGAAAAAAGAAGGGTTTAGGACTGTAGGTATAACAGGAGGGAAGAAGCGGAGGACCAAAAAGCCAATCACACAGGAAGTCCAGGGACCACCAGAGCTCAGCAGTGGCTCCCGTGAGCTGCTGTCTTACTGTTCAAAGCGGATGTTTCTCAGGTCCCCGTTATTGATACGGACGATACAGTCGTTCTCCTGGAAGAGGCTCTGCTGCTCGGCCTTGCCTCCCCTCTCCAGACGCTTGACCAACAAGCCAAGAGTCCTGAAATGTTTAAATGTTCATGTCAACAAGATGCAAGGCTATGTCCGAAGATTCAATATGGCTGCTTTGCTGTAGCATGAGAGAGAGAATAAACTTCATTATCTAGCGAATTATAATCACTGGAACTGTCTTTGAACACAATTTCACTTTTCTACAAAAAGATATTTAGACTTTGTGTACAAAGTGAAACAGAAAATCTTCTGTTCTTCTTCACCTGTCATTCCCTGAAGGATTCTAAAGTTCACTCAAAGTGTCTGTCATCTTCGAGGCCTATAAAATTGTTGTATTTATCAGGCTATGCATTTTTCTGGTAGCGAGAATACAAAAGCCACAGAACAAATAATAAAATCTTGAAAACAAATGTTCCTGTTCCCATGGTCAGGGCTATCAGTCTGTGCCGTGCTAATGAAAAGCTTTTTCAGTCAAAAAAAGAGAGCGCTACGCCTAATTGCTGCCTCTGCTTTATCATGCGGTACTTGAAAAGAGTGTACAGTGTGGTCCTGTCATTTGCATCATCAGTGTACCAATGAGGCTTATGAGAGAAAGCAGCCACATCACATCAGGGTGCTTTAGAGGCTGTGTGGGGGAGGCATCTATTCAAAGGCAATCAACATATTCAAAAACTCCACTGTAGTTCTGCTGGGGTTCATGCTTTGCAGGTGTTAATTTTCTAACCCCTAAGACTCATGTGGCCCTTTTCTAAGCAAAAAATAAACAAAGTGCTTTCAGAGAGCGACAAAAAGCAGAAACATTAAACACTGATAGCAGGCGGGTTGGAGAGAGGCCGGTCTATCGCACTGTAGCACTTCAGCCGCACTGAGCTGCAACCGTTGTCGCCCTGTAATCCGGTGTGGCAAACTGGCTTATGCCTCCCCGCACAGCCGCAGCGAGAGGCTAACTTCACCTGAAAGGGCGCTTTGCGGATTATAGATCCGAGTCTGAGGAAGAAAATCAACCGCGGGTAGGAAAGACGGCACAAACCTAATCGAGTCTTCTTCGGTATATAGTCTGTGTCCGTGTGTATCGAGGCTTTTTCTGAGGTAGTATGAGCGAGTGTCGCCTAGGTAAATTGGGTTGATTTTAGGGTTTAAGGCTCGCCCTCGCCTAAGGCTTATAATTCAATATGAATGGGAATGTGATTACAAAGAGGGCAGAAAAGTTCAGGAGTTGAGAAAGTTCACAGACAATTCCACTGATTGAATTTGAGTGAGAACACAATGCGATTTGCTGTGGAGGGGCTATTTCTTTGATGAAAGCTGGGCATCTTAATCTTGGGACAACGTCTACTCTGACATTTCCCCAATAAAAGAAAAGTGCATTATAAATGTGCTTTTAGGTTGATTAAGTCGGGCAGAGAGAAAAGTGATATGATCTTGATTTTCAATAAGTGCGACAGTGAGTTTGCACTGATTGTATTTGTGAGTCTCCAGGCTGAGTCACACAGAAAGAAAGTTTGGACGTTCGTGGGGTCGCAACTGGCAACTGGCAGAAACTATCTCGGGACTATAAAATCAAGCAATAGAGCTATCTAAAACTGGTCTGCACTTGTTTTAGAAACTCTCTTTCAATAATAAGGACCTCCATGTAAATGTCAGGTTTGAAAACAAAGCTATGCACTCAGCTAAACTGCGGGTTGAAACCGGATTCTTGTTTTAACTATGAAAGGCTGCATGACTTTAATCACAACCTCCAAAAAACGCCTCTCTGGGAATATTTAAACCAGATGTGAAATTCCTCTAATTCCTTCACAGCTTTGTTCCAGCTGTGTATGTGTGCTTCTGAATGTATTGTCAGTATGTGTGTGTGTGTGTAGGGTGCACTGCTCAATGTATCCTTTGAATCATGTAAAGCTGATGTGACAGCAGCCACAGAGAAATATGACGGTCACCTGCAAACCCTAAACAAGCATGATTGATCACTGTAGACTGGCAAATGGCTTCATGATGCCGACAACACAAACCTGTGTGTGTGTGTGTGTGTGCGTGTGAATGGCATCAGATTTGTTTGAGTGATGAAGTGATTACACATCAGCACCGAAGAGTAATGCCCGGTATGCATGTGTGTTTGTATGTGGGTGCGTGTCTCAGGTGACGCAGCACACTTCTCTCCGGCCAAAGAAAAAATCCAAAGTGAGCACATTTAAAAGATATTTTTGCCAGAAACCAAATTCAACTAAAGCGCAATTTTATGAGTCTATAATACGGCTGACAAGTCATCGGCCTAAGGGTGTAAGTGGGCAATTTCTTGTGGGTTTTTTTTTTTTTTTAATATAAAAGCTGACAGGTTTTAACCACTTGGACTTGTCAGAGCCAAAATTTGGAATGTTTAAAAAAAAAAAAAAAAGAAGCAAAGATCTAATGTTGGCAAAACTCTTAGAAACTCCCTAATCAAACATAGCTAGTTAAAGCACAGAACTGTTCATATAGAGAGCAAGATCTACTTGATAATGACAAGAGGTACTGTTTTTAATAGAGCATGCAGTTAAAGTTACTTTTTCATATTATTAGTTTTTAATTATATTTATATGTACTACTACAGCAAACCTGTCTTATACAAATCTAAACACAAATAATAGATATTTTAACAGTGGTTTAAGTTCCTTATTCAGACATTTATTTAACAATTTATGACCTTTTTAGGTGTTCATGGCCCTGTGGAGACTATTTCTCTCTGTTCCTCTCCTTCACTCTCTTCTAGTCTGTTTGAACAGCACCAAGCACCATGGCTCTGCTCTGGATATTCTTTACCTGCGGTCCCTGCCACTGAAAGGCACCACGTGGATTCCCAGGGGCCCGCCGTCGTTTGACACCTCCACCAGTTTGACTATGTCTCTGGGAGACGGTGATGGATGGAAGATGGAGAGGCCAGGGTGGGTGAATGTTGGGGGAGGGAGTGGAGAGGAGAGGAGAGGAGAGGGGTGACACCATGTGGGGAAAAACAAAACAGGAAATGAGATGATGATGAAAGAAACAAGATGATGACAATAACAGAGTGGTGTAAATAAAAAAAAAACAGAAAGCAAGAAGGCGTTGGAGGATACTGACAAAAAAAGACAATAAAACAGAGCAATCCAAATAAATCGAGCACATGTAAGGGATAACAAGGAATACTGAAGGTTTTAAAAAATCCTCACATACACGCACAATTTAGACTTAAGCTAATCTTCAAAGGGAGACTGGGATTATATTTCTTTAGGGCTGCACCTGAATTTATTTGCAAAATACAAGTCAAACATAAGTGTTCAAGACACATCAGTATCTATTAAGTGTAAACCGTAAATTCAAACCGATCGTGGCCCACTTAGAAAAAACTGCATGATGTGTTTTAAAGTTTGAGTAAAATTCTGTGACAGTTGAACACTTTGACTAAGTTTTGTGTGTTTCAAGTGTAAATGACTGATCGTAAGGTCAGTGTTTGGTCCCTTGGTGCTATGCACAGCTGAAAAACAATAACACTTAATAATGAAAGGAAGGAAAAGTAAATTCTAAGTTTATCTCCTACTCAGACAGGTGTATTTCCGATGAAGCCCTAGGCTGAATATTATTTTATTGCATTTGTATGTGGATGACTATTCATCATTTGACCCTTTAAACGCACAAAACACAGTTACAGCTATTTGCTTTTCCGGGGCAGCATTCTTCACCTGTTAGTCCGTAAAACATCTACACACACACATTTTACAAGATGCCAAATCTAATCAACTTTCAGCTTTGATACAATGACTATGATTAGCTAGGGGAAAATGGGCCCCTTGTTGACAACTAAGAGGCAGGAAAAGCCTGAGTCTCTGGGAAATCACAGGAATAATAACAGTACCATACCTGCATATTAAACTGGAAGCATGCAACGGAGCAAAATAACAAAACAAAACACAGTTGTTAATAACAGGAGCTGAATGGGTAAGCGCGTGGGAGAGCTCTGATGGCGAGACGAGGATCATTTTGCTCCCACAAAAGAGAATTATGTAAATCAGGAGGCAGGGTTGAAATGAGATTTTCTACAAACAAACCTGGATTACAATACAGAACCTGTTGGTCTAACTTTAAAGTACTTATGTATGTAATTATGTAGAGAAAGGGAAGAGAGTGCAGATTCACCCAGATCAACTTTGAAGGTAAAAGCTAATTTCAGACAACTTTATTTTGCATAGTTTTGGCCATCATTCTTACTGGTAATAATGGTGCTCGCCAAGTCAGTTGCTGAGATCTGCGAACACGGGAACATCACTATCTGAGCAAGATTCATTTGTTGAGTCCAATGTTTTCATTACTAAAATAATGGCCAAAACTAAAAGAAAGGAGCACAGTTCAATAACCCTGAAATTTCTGTTAGGGTTACGTAGATGTGGTGAAAAAGCAAAAATCCATTTGTCATCTAAAAAGGTTTAATGAAACATTTGCATAAATACAGATCTTAAACTTAATCTTCAACAGTGCAACTTTAACTACACTAAAACTATAAATGTTCAGATTCAGTTATTTTCAGAGAAGAGGTGTTACTTTTCCCAAATGGTGGATATCACATTTTAGAATAAAACTGATTAAATATTCACCAATGTGATCACCAGTAACCCCTGTCTCAGTACGTTATTGAGTTTCAGCAGGAACACGAGGATACAGACAGGCAAGCAGTGGGGAAGCGGATGCATGACTGAAGGACTTACTCTAATGACCTCACAGGGGTGTGGTCCATGCAGGAGTCAGCGCGACCAACCGGCTCAATCCTGCCGTTTTCTTCTTCTCTGGCCTCTTCATCCTAGAACAAAAGCACAGACAAGCAAAGGAAGAGCGAGTCAGTATGAAGTAACTGTACAAAAGGTGTCCAACTAAACTGCTGCTGCTGTCAAATGGCAAATCTGGGCTAGACGATTGCTGTTGTAGCACCAAAGATTCAATGATGGGAAGTTGAAAGGCAACACACAATGATGACTAGATGTTCACGCAAGATAACGTAGCATAAGATGCTTTCCAGTTTTCCTTGCCAGCAAACTAAATGGCTGGCAATCAGTCGATGGGTCTCTTCACAAAAAATGGATGCTGTGAACAGACAAAACATTTCTTGCCTTACCAGATGGTTCCTAGTTCTGATTGGCTGAGCAACATGTCAAACACAGTTTATTAGTCTGGGCTCAATCCAGACTAAAAAGCTTGCAGTTTTTTATGACCCTAATGACCTCCAGGGACAGGAAATTGAACAGCCATGGTGTTACAGAGCTCTTCACAGTTGTGAGGAGGCAAATAATTCTTTTTGCTCATCTTCCCAAGGGCCTTGTAAAGCTTCCAGGATGAAAAATCATCTGTCTTCCACTAAGACACAGGATGAAATAACAAATTATGGTGCCCAATGCTCATTGTCCTTCCTGATTCACCAAGTCTGGTGAAGCAGGCGATTTCAGGGGCATTTTGGGCAGTTTTAACCAGGCATAGGACTTCCCAAGTTTGTTTCTTAAATTCCTGGTTATGTTTAGGATATAAAAATCTTAAGTATCTTTCAGAAGCGGAAAAGTAGGCTAACCTGACGAAGCCAAGACGAGCAGATCGGAGGAGGTCTTCCATGGGTATAAAAATACATGCCCTTTAAAAATTCTTATATCTTCAAAATTACATTGCCTTTGCTCTCCTCTTGTATTAACTGTGGACAGCATCTGTTTGAATACTGAAGCTGAGACTCATGACATGTACATGCAAACACACACACACACACACACATTCACACACAGAAAGCACTGAAAGCAAAGAGGAGAAAAATGAGAAGCAGAGAAAGAAGGTCATTAAAATTTCAGGGCGACACCGGAGAGGAGAGGAGAGACGAGCGAGCAGCAGCAGGAGCTGCGCAGGCCTTCCCTGCAACCGGCCGCCTCATCAGTATGAAAATGAGCCTGCTGTTACCGTGGCGGCCGTACGGTTGCCATGACACTTTGGTGCCTGGAGGACGCACAGCTACAGGGCAGTGCATGAGTGTGTACATGTGTGAGAAACAGTGTGCACTGACTGCCATCTTCCAATGTAGAAGTCGTCTCCTGCTGGCTAAAAGTGCAGACTGTCACAATGAAAACAGAAAGACAACAAGTCTGCCTCGCAGCTTTCTTCAGACAGACAGAGATGAAAATGTGCGAGGCATATAGATGGTGTGTGCATGTAGGCTTGTTTTGCTACATTTGTGGGGTCCAAAAAGCAGGAGCCACCAACTTGTGGGGTCCGACAGCTTTGTGGAAACAAGGTTTAAGACTTAGGACCCCCTGCCTCCTCCAATCTAAGTTAACTAAAACACATCGATTGTTATTTTCAGAAAAAACGATCCTCTTAAACATTACACACTGGGCCTTTAAAAAGCTGTTAAATACAAAGTGTTTCCCTGAAGACACAATAGGCCACTAACATGAGTCAGTTATGCAGCCCAACCACCATCTCCACTTGTCTTTATTCAGCATTTGGACAAAGAAAATTCAAAAGTTTGAACAGAATAATATTTTGCAACTCACAGGCTTTCCTAGACAGAATATGCTGGGTACTCAAAGCATTCCTGAATCACTAAAAGAGCCCACAAATGCCTCTCTGAAGGAGAACATTAAATTGTTCTGCCTTGATGTCTTGACAACAGACTTGAAAATATAAGCACATGTGGAAGACTATAAAGAAGACAGTGTGGTTCTTAAAAGACATTTCTTGGATCGGTGGACAGCAGCACCACATTCAAAACCTTTTTACAGCACCATGAAAGAGTTTAAATGTGAGCATTTATAACATTTATAAAGAGAACATTCCTAAAATGGGTCGCTACATTGCCAAATATGTGTGCCAAAACTATATAGGGCAAACCTATGATTTATTTACTAGTGCTATATGGACCCTTGTTGTTAAATGTACAATGGAGTGCACCCATGATCATATCCAAGAACACACAAACACACACAGAGGCAAGATAAAAAGAAAGTCCAACAGACAGAGAAACAATAACAACTCAAAGAGCCTCAGAAACACATCTAACACTATTCAATATTTATCAGGAGACGAGGAAGCAAGGCTGGGGGACATCAGAGAGGGAGAGGAGTCGCTATCTGAGGAAGAGTAAATGAGATCGCCATTCATCACAGCACACACAGGCATCTCACAGACCCTTTATTTCAATACGCATCATCTCTGAGGAATCTGGCTGCACACTGACAATTCTATTCTACAGCCGGTGTGTATGTGTGTCAGTGTGTGAGATAGAAGAAGGAGAGCAAGATTGAAAAGAGAAAGATGAAGAAACACAATTATTTCTGGTATGTGTGGTAAAGAATGTACAGCATCATATATTCATTTATAGCATCTGCCATTGGTCAATATATACAACACATTCATGTACAATATAAATACATTAGACCAATGAAAAAAATGGTGGTTTTGTTTTTCCTGATTTCCCCAACATGCTGTTGCTTTTAGTTCAAAGACAGACATAGTGGAAAACAATCGACTACTCATGTAGTAGCGGTTGTGGAGCTTTTGATCATACTACATGATCTTCATCAGCAGATGGAATTGCCTAGTCGCCATTGAATTCTCAGCCATGTTCTCCTTTTGCTCTTTTTCCAGAAAATGGATATTTGACTATTAACTAAAATCTACAATTCGAATGGGCAAATCCATCTGCGGATGATCCTCCGATGTGATCTAAAGCTGCAGAGCAGCGACTACCAAACGAACCTTGTGGTGAGAAACTTTTAAAGGTCGGGATGAAGTTTGAACCTCAGCTGGTGGAAGTGATTTTTCAATCTGCCTTTCATTCTTTCCACTTTTCTGCTACTATAAAGGTTTTAGGTCTATTTGATCTGAACAAAATGACAGCCTGCTCCTGTTTTGTGCTGTGAAAGAACCTTGCTTTGTGGAATAAAAACTGTGTGGAGGCTGTTAGTGGTGGACAATGTCCTGTTTGATTACAGTATACCTACCCTGTACCTATAAGTCAAATGGAGCACAGCAGGATTTATTCATGTTTAACAACAGGGTCTATTGCTAAAATGATGTTTATTTTTACATGAACCGTGTTTTTGGTATTGGCGAGGCGAGGAGAGAAGAGAAGTATAAGGAACTTTATGAAAAATTAAGTTGTATCATCGGTGAAGAAAACAATACCAGCTTCTTCCCAACATTAGCAGCAACTCTCACTGACTGGATCAGTTTGACTGACAGATGGACCAATCAGTTCTTACTTCAGCTTCCCCCCCTCCAAAAGTCCAGAAGGAGACACTCAAGAGAGGCATCGCCACACTTTCCCAACCACACCATCAAGACGTCGCCCATTCCCGTTCCTGGGAGTGGGCCGGGAGAGCAGAGGGATAGATAGCCGCATTAATAATTCAGGGCTGAGTTGGGGGGTTAATGGCTAGCATGCAGACAGGCAGGCATGCAGGTCCGAGCGGCCCTTGTGTTTTCCCGCCGAGTCATTGTTTGTTTCCTGGATGTGGAGAAGGAGAGGCAGGCGGGCAGTTTTCAGGCCCGGGGGCTCATTAAAGATTAATAGGAGAATCCATTGGGGCCTGTCCTTTCTATCTCTCAGACTAAATGAAGTGGTCTGCGCCTAGTGTGTATGTGTGTATGTATGGGAGAGAGAGTGAGTGGAGTAATGCTGCACTTTAATGAAGTGCTGCCCGCTCCCCTTTCCTGCCACTTTGACCGCACTGTCACAAACTGATGCGGATGCACGTATACAGACACACAGCCAGGGATGGGGAAGAGGGGGCTTTATTTGCAGGAATGGAGTTTAGCTTTCTCAAGATTCAGACAAAAATCTTTAGAGACAAAATGCAAACATTTTGATGTTGAATAAATCTTAAATGAGACAGTTTCCCTAAATGTTTAAAATCTGTAAAAAAAAAAAAAAAAAAAAGGTAAAGTACAGACACTTTTTTACATTTAGTTGTGCCATTGTACCTAGATCCCATAATCCCTTTGAAATGGCATTAAACTTTAAAATCAAAATCTGTTTAAATATGAATGATCTCCAAAATGTTATACTATGAAAAGTGTTTGATCGTTAGGGTTGATGCTGAAGTTTCCCATCTTCTTTGTGAAAGGAAGTGATGTAAAGTGATGCAACAGTAAGAAACGTTGATACACCTTGTCAAGTTGATTGCTGACAGCGCCAATTAAGCCGAGTCAAAGTGATGAGGTCTCACATAATGTAGAATTTCACACAAACAAGCGGAGTAATATCGAAGTTTGCACACTGGAAACTTTAGCAAATGTTTTTCCAGATAAATGGCTAATTTCAGTGTAACATTCACTGGGTTTACCTTGAGGAAGGCTTTTACCTTAAATGAGGAAGGTAGACTGATAACAGACATGTTGTGCTACTTGCCATTTGAGAAGGGCCCGAGTACCTGCCAAAATGTGTCCATACCATCAAGAGCAAAAACAGACCAAAAGCTGTTACCAAACCTTTGCTAGTTTGAACTATTTTAATGTAGGTTGCTTGTTTTTAGCCGACGTTTAACATCTGAGAATGCGGCTTCTTAAGATACATCTATAAAATGTAAAAACAAAGATGGCGTTTTTTGGTAAGTTGCATTTGAACTCTTAGACTCAGAGATCACTCAGATGTTTGTAGGAAAGAAATTTAGGAAAATGTTTAATACTCAAACATCTGAGTGATCTCTGAGTCTAGGAAGTTCAATGCCCTTACGCAAAAAACGCCATCCTTTGTTTAGTTGAAACATTTCATAGTTTAAATTACCTTTCAAACAGAGCCACATGGCAGAATTGTCGGGGCATTTC